ACTATAGTCCATCCGAAGAAAGCCACCTTCAATGGGCCTTTAGTGAGCCAAACAGCCTTCCAAGGAAAAGAAAGGCCCTGCACCACCACCAATCTCCTATAGAAAGAGAAAACCTCCATTCTCCCAAGAGAAGCAGCCACCCAAATCCACTCATCCTCCCCTCTCCACCTAATTGTTGGCTATACAAGAAGGCCAAGAGACACACAAGATCCTTCACCTCCAAATCTTGAGTCTCATAAACTGTATGTCCTAAACCAATCTATTGCTATAAAAGCGATAGCTATCTGCCACTTTAGAGAACCTGTTCGACGCAATTCAAAAGAGACTCAAGAGAGCATCTGAAATCGGTCTTCCTCCACCCCCCCCCCCCCCCCCCCTCCAACCCCAAAAAAAAAAAAAAAAAAAAAAAAAAAAAAAAAAAAAAAAAAAAAAAACCTAACTGAATAAGCCTTCCATTCTTCACTCTAAATCAAATGTGTTTGGAATATCCATCCCCATTCCAGATAGAACTCAGGAGTCTCACTTCCAAGGAACACCAACCACCTCTGTCTTTCCCAAACTTGCAACAAATAAAAGTGCTCCAGAAATTTTGCCTCTCCACCCCAAACCTCCATAACCACTTGGCCTTTTTAAACATATATGTGTTCGGTATGTGAGTTTTGACTTGTGGCGTGGCCTTATGGTCACTTTTCTTTGTGCTGAATTCCCAAACACCCTAGCTAAATCAGCCCAACTTCTCTAATTGACTAGGTGATACTTAAACTCCTCCCCTACACCACTCCATAAGAAATTTCTCTGCAACTTCTCAATCCTCTTTGGTACGGAAATTGGTATATAGAAGAAAGAAAGAAAGTAGGTTGGAAGATTCGAAAGAGTACTTTCAAGAGTGTAATTTGCCCCCTTTTCGATAAATAATGCTTCTTGCAACATGCAAATCTCCTCTCAAACTGATTAACAACTAGGCCCTATATAGAACCCTCCTTGATGTGGCACCCAATGGTAAAACCAAATATGTCAAAGGAAAGGCTCCAACCCCGAACCCTAGTATATCGGACATGGAATCTATCTCCCCCACCTCCCCTACAAAAATAATCACGCTCTTCCCAAGGTTGATCATCAAGCCAGACAAAGCCTAAAAACAAATCAAAACACTCTGAAGGAATCTTAGATGAGCCTCGTTCACCTCACAGAAAACAATTGTGTTGTCAATGAAGAAAGATGGGAGTTCTCCATCTGACTAGAGGGATCCTTCCCACTCTAAAGCCTCTGATATGGCCCAAATCCATGGCCCGCCTCACCAATCTGTTAAACCTCCATCGCAATAATATCAGTAGGGGGGACAATGGGTCCTTCTGTCTCAATCCCCTCAAGCTGCCAACCCCTGCCACCAAATCCCAAGTCTCATAAACTGTATGTCCCAAACCAATCTATCGCTATCAAGGCAATAGCTATCTGCCACTTTAGAGAACCTATTCAACGCAATCTGAAAGAGACTCAAGAGAGCATCTGAAATCGGTCTTCCTCCACACTACCTCATCCCAAACCAACCAACAACACCCCAACCCCCACCCCCCAAAAAAAAAAAAAAAAAAACTTAATAAGACTTCCATTCTTCACTCTAAATCAAATGTGTTTGGAAAATCCATCCCCATTCCAGATAGAATTCTAGAGTCTCACTTCCAAGGAACACCAACCACCTCTGTCTTTCCCAAATTTGTAACAATAACCCTCCTCTAGAAAATTTGCCTCCACCCCAAACCTCCATAACCACTTGGCCTTGTTAAACATATCAAGGTGCTGAATCCCCAAACACCCTAGCTAAATCAGCCCCACTTCTCCTAAAAAAAAAAAAAAAAAACAACTTAATAAGCCTTCCATTCTTCATTCTAAATCAAATGTGTTTGGACAATCCATCCCCATTCCAGATAGAATTCTAGAGTCTCACTTCCAAGGAACACCAACCACCTCTGTCTTTCCCAAATTTGTAACAATAACCCTCCTCTAGAAAATTTGCCTCTCCACCCCAAACCTCCATAACCACTTGGCCTTGTTAAACATATCAAGGTGTTGAATCCCCAAACACCCTAGCTAAATCAGCCCAACTTCTCCAATTGACTAGGTGATACTTTTAACTCCTTCCCCACACCACTCCATAAGAAATTTCTCTGCAACTTCTCAATACTCTTTGATACAGAAATTGGTATATAGAAGAAAGAAAGAATTTAGGGTTGGACGATTCGAAAGAGTACTCTTCAAAAGAGTAATTTGCCCCCTTTTCGATAAATAATGCTTCTTCCAACCTGCAAAACCCCTCTCAAACTGATTAACAACTAGGCCCTATATAGAACCCTCCTTGATGTGGCACCCAATGGTAATACAAAATATGTCAAAGGAAAGGCTCCAACCCCGAACCCTAGTATATCGGAAATAAAATCTATCTCCCCCACCTCCCCTACAAAAATAATCACACTCTTCCCAAGGTTGATCATCAAGCTAGACACAGCCTCAAAACAAACCAAAATACTCTGAAGGAATCTCAGATGAGCCTCGTTCACCTCACAAAAAACAATGGTGTTGTCAATAAAGAAAGATGGGAGTTCTCCATCTGACCAGAGGGATCCTTCCCACTCTGAAGCCTCTGAAATAGCCCAAATCCATGGCCCACCTCTTTAATCTGTTAAACCTCCATCACAATAATGTCAGTAGGGGGGACAATGGGTCCTTCTGTCTCAATCCCCTCAAGCTGCCAACCCCCACCACCACAATTCCCCCCCCCCCCCCCCCCCCCGGGGCGGTGCCCTCGCATTCACCAAAACTGAGAGATCAGATCTACCTCCTCCATCTCTCGCCACAGCCCATCCTCTCCAGCATGTATAATAATAAGTTCACATGTTCGTAAGCCTTCTCGATGTCAAGCACCACACCTGGCACCCAACTACTTAATCTCAAGTCCACACACTCACTGGCTATCACAACCGAATCCAGGAGTTGACATCCGCCAAAAAATGCATTTTTGGCCTCCGAGATTACTCCATCTATCATTCCCTTCAATCTCAAAGCAAGGACTTTAGCTATTAATTTGTATATACTACCCACCAAACAAATAGGTCTAGAGTCATTTGAGAATCAGGCAATGCTCTATTTGTCCGCAACTATTACATTCTTCTTCCACTGCGAGGGTAAAGATTGTCTTATCATTGTTTGATAAACCTGCTCAAACTAACAGCCTATAATTCTCATCCAATTAAGTTCTTTCTTTCATTCCTCAAAGAATTACAAGTTATTTGCTGCATTTAAGCAGAGAGATAACTACATGAAAGTACACTCCTAAAAACAACAAAATACATGTATCCAATTACACATGTGACACGATTTTGAGAATAATTAAAACATTTTACATACATTCAAAATTTAATGGCAATGGCCAAGGATTAATAATGTATTGGTTACGAAAAAGAGGTGAATGTAGATCAAATGATTCAGTAAACCATAACAGATGAAAAAAGGAAGCAAATAGAAAATTTTACTCTGTAAGCAAATCAAACTTGGTTCTCGAAATTGCTATTCACATTCCTACTGACATGGACCAAATATTCAACCTACATTTCCACAATGCACATTTGTCAATTGCAGGAAATATACAGTTTCCAGACTTCCACCATAGAATAAATTAACTCTTTCTGACACTGACCACCACTTTTTACAAGTTTGCACTAAGAAGTTATTTTTTAGACCATTATAGAGTCTCAATCAGAAAATCAGCCAGACTGTTCCTGGCCAAACTTGGGGTTCACTCGGTCATAATTACACTTCTAGTAAATTACATAAATTGCTCAATAAGGCATGCATTTTGATGGGTTGGTTTCCTCCAATAATCCTATTCTATCCCTAGCTTGCATACAAGTTCAACAAACAGAATCAAAACACAGAACCACAACATTGCCCAAAGAATATCACCACTTAACTACCATAAGAAAGTCTAGAATCTTCCAAAATGGACCATAATGCAGGTATTACTATTGCTTTTCAACACCAAAGTACTACCCAGTACCCACTACTATTAGTATTTTATATATATATATATATCGTACGACTATTGGTATTGAGCTATCAGTGAATGTTGTTGTAAGCCTATGAGTGGTTGCAGAAAATTAATCACAGGGAAGGTTCGTGGATATGGAAGATAATCGAAGCCTACTTGCTTTTGGAGTAAACCAATATATGAATAAATGAAAGCTACTTGAGATGTTAATTAACTACATATTCTAATTATTCAGTAGCTAACATGCTCTCTGTTCATGATTTAAGTGGCAAAATTATTTTATCTACTCCAACATTTGTCTAGGCTGAATGCTCTTTTACTTATTAACAACAATCCAAGTTCACCAAATTGGACTGACTTTTTGTGTGTCAAAATGTCACTTAATGAATAAAATAAACAAGACCAGCCAATTTTATGAGTTGTAACTGAACTCCTTAAATTAAAGGCAAATGTTTGCTACCCAAATTTTGCCTAATTGGACTCAGGTTACACAACTACCAATCATGATCCGAGTTTCTAAGAATTTAAATAAATAAAGGGAATGAATGGCTAAAATTAATTAATCATTTATAAATTTATTAGCACGGCTAATAATATCATACATTGCAAACAGATTATATTAGCATCACAGTTGAGGTAAGATGATCCAAAGAAAGAATCGAGCATCAAGTAATTGGCAAAGACTATTCATATACTAACCATTATAGTAATGGCAAAACTGATTGATTTAAAACTTGAACTTCAAATTTTCTCTTACTACTCATCACAAAAGAAAACAATCGAAGCAATATCCTTCAAATTTGGTTAATGTATCTCAAATCTCAAAGTAATCTGTAAACGCATTTCAGGTTTTTTTTTTTTTAACAAAAAAAAAAAAAAAAAAAATCAATATTTTTCAAGAAAGAAAGCCAAACAAGTCCTTTAACAGAAGAGAGAGTAGAGAGAGAGGGAAAGAAACCTTTGGAATTGCTTCTTGGGGAGAGAAAGACATGAATGACTCAAAAGGGTTTGTGAGACTTGCCAATCCAACGTTCTATTCTCGTTGATGGAGAGTTTGAAGACTGCGTTGCACTGTGTTAACTTCACAGTAGTTTCTACTCTCTTCCTCGCCCCGGTCGAAAAAACATAAGTAAAACACAGATATTCATTATTGCCACTGATCAGTCAGTGTCGGTCACAAATCTCAAATTAAAGCGTAAATTAGTGAAGTTCAAATTACCCTACTGTTTAACTTTTGAATAAATAACTCTGACACTACTGTTTAACTTAATTTACTTAATAGAAACTATTAATTACCATTTTGCCATCACTATAAATTGTTAAAGATGTTGGGTAGCCATATGGAGCGAAGGTCCCGTATGCATTTCTCCCTAGTGCAGTTGGTACATGTACTGTTACGAGTCATGTGGGAGCCTAAGGCTATGTTTGGTATAGAAGCAAAGGATAATTTTAATACCCTATCGAATTTGGTTGATTAATGAAAGAAAAAAATAATAATAATAATCATATTTGGAAAAAGAAAGAAAATAAAAATATTTTAATAAATTTACTATTATGCCTTTCTATATTTTAAAAAATAAATTTATGAGACCTCAAAATTCATAGGCCCAGAAAAAAAAAATATATATATATATATATATATATATATATTATATATTTAGGATAAATCATTTTAGCCTCCCCAATCACCTCCATCTCTATTATCGTTCTCAACTCTGAACTTGCCTTTCTTTCCCTCTCTCTCCAACTGCAAACTACAAAATCTACAAGAATCTGAAGTTCAAAACCCATATATTTCAGTTTATCTATCTGTCTGCAAGAATCAAAAGTTCAAAAACCTATTACCTATATCGGCATATCATTTCAGATTGTTCAAAAAATCAAAACCCATATCTTTCAGTCTCCATCGCCCACTGCTCTAGTTCAGGTTCACCATTCGCAAGCTTCAGCCGCTGGCCCGCCTTCTTTCAACTCTCTTACCCCCCTCTCTCAGCAACTGCTAACTTGTATGTATATATGCCCTAAAATCAAGTGTAATCTTGAGGGTAAAATTGGCATCACAAATTATACAATGGTGCTTAATTGATATAGTTGCAATTGATTTGATAGTCCATACTTAGATTTGATGAGTTGTGTTATGTTGTGTATGAAAACAAAGATAATATATTTACCACTCGCAATAGAACGAATCCTTTGCAGGATAGGGCTACTTACAGGGTGTTGAACCTCAGGGACTATGGTGGATTATCAAGTGTTCAATTAATACTATTTTAATTCAAAGATAAAGATTGTTTGATTTAGTGTGTATCACTAGCATAAATAAACTTAAGCTAAATAAAGATTGAGATCAGAGAGAGAAGATCTTAGGGATTGACTTTACTATGAACCTTATACTATAGTCAACTGTTCAATCTTGGGATTTCAACAATTATATGTGACTTGGTCATTTTCTTCCTTTTCTTTTTTCTTAAATTTTGCAGATAAATTTTTTCCGTTGTCTTTTCTATTCTGTGTTTAGTTTTTCATCACTTAGTGTCTTTTCGAGTACTTGGAAATGGTTTCTGAGACTCTTTCCTTTGAATTGACAACTTCTTTTAAGGACCGAGTCATTTTCACATTTTTCTTTTTTTGACACTATTCACTTTTCGTCCTTTTCCCTATTTTGTCTTTTCCCCGTTTGTCACTTTTTGGCACAACCTCACTTTTCGTGCTCAGAGTTGGTTTTTGATTTCAAATATCTTCATTCTAAGTGATTTCCACGAAATACGTATATTTAGTTTTGCAGTAAAGTATTCTGGTTGCTCCCGGTGTCTATAGGGGCATGGATGCATAGTTTTTCAGAATCTTTTTCTTTTCTTGGGGTGTTTTTCATAAATATCTTTTGAAGATATTTTATTTCAGGGATTTTAAGAAAATATTTTAGGAAGATATTTTCATTCTGGGTCATTAGTGCAGTTTTCAATTTTTAGAAGGGCCATTGTGCAATTAATGAAAGTTATTGCAAAAATGTCTCGTTTTGAGCCTGAATCCTCGTATGGGATTCATTTTCACTTTTCGTCGAGTCATGTAACTCTTAGAATTGTCTTTTGGTCATTTTTCCCCAGTTTCAAGGTTTTTAGCCCCGGTTACCGGCGAACTTGTTTGGGGCATATTTCTCTGCTCAGGACTCAGTTTTCGACGTCATTTCTTCCGTTGTTCATATTTTCTCATTTTGGTTCTTTTTTGTTCACGAAGTTTTTCCGTTTGAGCGCGTTTGCTCAAATTTCACTTTTCTGGACCCGACGGGGCCCTTTCGAGACACTTTTAGGGTTTTCCTATAAATAGGGGTTATAAAATTAAAAAGTGATATTCCCCTCTCTTCATGCACGACCAGAAGCTGCCATGACAGCCCAAGGGGGGCTGCCACCCTTCTTCTCTCAATTAAACCTCCTTCCTTTTGTTAAAAAGTCATAGTGCCTTTGCGTTATGTGTTTATCTTGACGACGCACATCTTTCCCCTTTATTAGAATCCGTTTTTTGGCCATTTTTTTGAGTTCAGGTTTGAGGTCAAGTTTGGATTTTGGTATGTCCTCTTTGAGTTTAATGTTCACCGTATTGTCCCCGACATAACCTAGGAGTATCGTCAGATTCGGAGCACTTTTCTTTCGGTGGGGATTTGAAATTTTCATCTCAAATTGAGGTAGGGGGTGTTATAATTTCATATATTTGTTGTCTTGCAGCTAATGATGCTTATACAACTTGTATGCATGCTTTTGTTCATAATTTAGAATTTAATTTAATTATTTTCTTTGTGTAAGATTTAATTCTTATAATGATATTCAACTTAGAATTAAATTGTGGCATGCTAGAAATTTAGGCTTTGGTATGGTGGTTGATATATATTAAATTGGGATTATTTAAATAAGAATTGCAAATTTTATTTAATATTTATCTTTGGTGAAAGTTTAATTCACATAATTGTATCAAGTATGAAATAAACTTGTAATGTGATATTAAAGTAGGCCTTGGTGAGTTCTTGAATATATGTTAATTTGAGAGCATTTGGAGTTGTTTAAAAATCTAGAAGAAATTAATTAATTAGCTTAATTAATTTTATTTTAAGTGTTTTAATCACTTAATTAGTTATTTGATATTATGTATGTGATGACTATGATATGTCCTTCAACATATATAAATTTGAGATTATTTGGAATTAATTTGGGATCTAGATAATTTAATTATTTTTATTTAATTAAATTCTATCTAATTGCTCCATGGATTTAATTGTGTTTTGGAAGTTGTTTTTATGTTTAAATCATGAACTTAGACTTGTTATATATTCACTTGGTTACATTTTGAGCATTGGATAATATAGTTGTTATATTTATATTCATGAGAATATGTTTTCCTTATTGAATATATCACTATCTCGTGTAATAAGTTGCAAATTTTGTATTTGACATCTTTCATGCCATAGTAGTTATGGACTTAGAACATGTATTGTATGTGTTTCCAATTTTGGTTGTGCATGGTAGATAGTTTATTATCTTGTATATACATGTTGATATATATGTTGTTGCACAACTTGTTGATTACTTAGTTTAATTTAATTGCTCTCTAGTCTAATCAACCAACCAACCAATTGCTTGATCACTCGACCTACTAACCCTAATAGCGATTCCATGATCAATTCCGACTCCAATCCCTTGGGACGATCCCTACTCGCCCTAGCTATAATTATAATGAAAGGTAGTAGTGGCTTTTATAAATGTAAAACTTGGCTCTCGCCTAAATTGCACGCTTCTCCAAGCTTGTTGTGGTGAAGGTGACACACGAGAAACAACCACGACCAGTTTTTGGCGCCGTTGCCGGGGATTAGGCAACGTTGTAGTTGTGGAATCGATTAGAAATTAGTACTCTTTTGATCGTGTCTTTACTTTATTTTTTTTTTCTTTTAGTTACTTATTGTGTTTGTTCATATTTGACAAGGTGCATTGAGCAAGAGGCAAGCAAAGAAGCATCCAAGCAAAAGAGCTAAGCAAAGAAAGGAAAAATGCTAAAAACTTAAAAAAAAATTTGCAAAGCTAAGCTTTAAATTTGGAGTTGAAGTGCTTAAGGACCTTTGTGAGACTTTCTTTACTCAATCCCTTAGTTAAATCGTCGGCCCGCGTGGAGGCCTGTAATTCAATTCTTAGATAAATCGTGAGCCCGCGTGGAGGCTATTTTATTGTTCTTTACATCATCTTTGTTAAAGCATAGGAATATGGGTCAAGTGTTTGTGGAGGAAGTTTAATTGCATTGTTGTGAAGGTGAAGTGTGTGTCATTCTTTGTGTTTGTTGTTTTGCATTGTGCATGCATGGACGTCATTCATTGAGACCAACTCTTGTCCCTCTTGATTTGCATCTTGAATCCATAATTAGAAATCCTAGGGGAAGAGGAAGTTCAAATAGAACTAATCTATCAGTGGATGACCATAATGATGACTATATTGAGGACCTTGGTCACATAGACCAACAAGGTATCCTTCATCCCAATGTGCACAATGAAAACATGCAAGTACCATTAGGCATGCCAAGGCCATTCATCCAACCACCACAACAACAAGGCCAAGTTCCATATGGAATGCCAAGGCCAATGTATGCTCCACAACCTCCCATCATTAATCAAGGAATTCAAAACCAAGGTGTTCATGTTGCACCTCAAGTAGCTAATCCACCACTTGCTTTGAGAGATCACTATATGCCTAATGAATATAATGCACCCACATGCATTCAATTGCCACCATTTAGAGCACATCATTATGAAATTAAAGCACAAATTATTCAAATGCTTCCTAACTTTCATGGACTTCCTAGTGAAGAACCTTACAAGCATTTGGATGAGTTTTTTGAAGTATGTTCCACTGTAAAATATACGGACATACCGAAAGAGGTCTTAAGACTCAAAAATTTTCCATTCACCTTAAAGGACAAAGCAAAATATTGGTTTAACAATCTTAGGCCTTTTTCAATCACTTCTTGGGCAGAAATGCAACAAGAGTTTTTGAAGAAGTACTATCCAGTTTCTAAGACCAATGCCATGAGAACCTCAATTTGAGAATTTTCACATGGGGATGGAGAAACATTTCATGAGGCATGGGAGCGCTTCAATGAATTGCTTAA